GAGTCGTAATCGTCGTAGCAGTCGTACGCGTAGTCGTAGCCATAGTAGCCGCAGCAGTGTGAATAGTGAAAGTAGTAGTAACTGTAGTAGTCGCAGAAGTTGTTGCAGTTGTAGTAGTAGTTGTAGTAGTAGTGGTAGTAGTAGTAGTAGTAGTAGTAGTAGTAGGAGTAGCAGTAGGAGTACGAGTAGGAGTAGGAGTAGTAGTAGTAGTAGTAGTAGTAGTAGTAGCAGTAGTCGTAGTCGTAGTAGTAGTAGTAGTAGTAGTAGTAGCAGTAGTAGTAGTCGTAGTAGTAGTAGTAGCAGTAGTCGTAGTAGTAGTAGCAGTAGTAGTAGTACTAGTAGTAGTTGTAGTCGTAGTCTTAGTCTTTAGGCTTAGTCGTCGGAGTAGCAATAGTAGTAGTAGTCGTCGTAGTAGCAGTAGTAGTAGTAGTGGTAGTAGTAGTAATAGTAGTAGTAGTAGAAGTAGTAGAAGTAGTGGTACTAGTAGTAGAAGAAGAAGTAATTGTGGTAGTAGTAGTAGTAGTAGTAGTAGTAGTAGTAGTATTACCAGAAATACTAGTAGTCGTAGTAGTAGTAGTAGTAGTAGCAGTAGTAGCAGTAGTAGCAGTAGTAGTAGTAGTAGTAGTAGTAGTAGTATTACCAGAAGTACTAGTAGTCGTAGTAGTAGTAGTAGTAGTAGTAGTAGTAGTAGTAGTAGTATAGTAGTAGCAGTTAGTCGTAGTAGTAGTAGTAGCAGTAGTAGTAGTAGTAGTAGTAGTAGTAGTAGTAGTAGTAGTAGTAGTAGTAGTAGTAGTAGTCGTAGTAGTAGTAGTAGTAGTAGTAGTAGTAGTAGTAGTAGTAGTAGTAGTAGTAGTAGTAGTCGTCGTAGCAGTAGTAGTAGTAGTAGTAGTAGTATAGTAGTAGTAGTAGTAGTAGTAGTAGTAGTAGTAGTAGTAGTAGTAGTAGTAGTAGTAACAGTAGTCGTCGGAATCGTAGTAGTAGCATGTTGGATGTAGATCACGCTGCCCAGCATCAGAGGATCGCAACTTCGATTCGTGCTCTCCCGGCGATAATGAAGTTCGGGCTCGCAGCCTCTTCTCCGACCAACTCTGTCTTGGTCCGGGATGGTTGATTTTCTGGTGTTAAGGGGGATCTGTTTTATTCCCGACTTTCCTGCGTTGGGTTCTCGTTTTGAATAGAGCACTGCTCGCGCGTCGCCTTCCTTACTTCCTTCCTTCCTTCCCGCCCCTTCCCGCCCCTCTCTTCTCCCTTGCCTTTTGCCTCGCTCGTCGCTGCGTGCCAGCTGGGGGGCTGCGATCTGTGAAACTGTCGCCACCTTCGAGGCCTGCTGGGGGGCCCAGCACAGTGGGTACCCACGGCGGACTCAAATGGGACCTCGCCATCCCTGGGGGGCTGCGATTTGTGAATTTGTCGTCACTTTCGCGGCCTGCTGGGGGGCCCAGCACAGTGGGTACACACGGCGGATTGAAATTGCACCTCGCGTCTCTCGGGGGTGTCGCCACTTTCGAGGCCTGCTGGGGGGCCCAGCACAGTGGGTACACACGGCGGATTGAAATTGCACCTCGCCATCCCTGGGGGGCAGCGATCTGTGAAACTGTCGCCACTTTCGAGGCCTGCTGGGGGGCCCAGCACACTGGGTACGCACGGCGGATTGAAACTGCACCTCGCCATCCCTGGGGGGCTGCGATCTGTGAAGCTGTCGCCACTTTCGAGGCCTGCTGGGGAACCCAGCACAGTGGGTACACACGGCGGATTGAAATTGCACCTCGCCATCCCTGGGGGGCTGCGATCTGTGAAACTGTCGCCACTTTCGCGGCCTGCTGGGGGGCCCAGCTCACTGGGTACGCACGGCGGATTGAAATTGCACCTCGCCATCCCTGGGGGGCTGCGATCTGTGAAACTGTCGCCACTTTCGAGGCCTGCTGGGGGGCCCAGCACAGTGGGTACACACGGCGGATTGAAATTGCACCTCGCCATCCCTGGGGGGCTGCGATCTGTGAAACTGTCGCCACTTTCGAGGCCTGCTGGGGGGCCCAGCACAGTGGGTACCACGGCGGATTCAAATGACCTCGCCATCCCTGGGGGGCTGCGATCTGTGAAACTGTCGCCACTTTCGAGGCCTGCTGGGGGGCCCAGCACAGTGGGTACCACGGCGGATTGAAATTGCACCTCGCCATCCCTGGGGGGCTGCGATCTGTGAAACTGTCGCCACTTTCGAGGCCTGCTGGGGGGCCCAGCACAGTGGTACCCACGGCGGATTCAAATTGACCTCGCCATCCCTGGGGGGCTGCGATCTGTGAAACTGTCGCCACTTTCGAGGCCTGCTGGGGGGCCCAGCACAGTGACGCCACGGCGGACTCAAATTAGACCTCGCCATCCCTGGGGGGCTGCGATCTGTGAAACTGTCGCCACTTTCGAGGCTTGCTGGGGGGCCCAGCACAGTGGGTACCCACGGCGGACTCAAATGATACCTCGCCATCCTTGGGGGGCTGCGATTTGTGAATTTGTCGTCACTTTCGCGGCCTGCTGGGGGGCCCAGCACAGTGGGTACACACGGCGGACTCAAATGTGACCTCGCCATCCTTGGGGGGCTGCGATCTGTGAAACGGTCGCCGCTTTTGAGGCCCGCTGGGGGGCCCAGCACAGTGGGTACCCACGGCGGACTCAAATGGGCCCTCGCCATCCCTGGGGGGCTGCGATCTGTGAAACTGTCGCCACTTTCGAGGCCTGCCGGGGGGCCCAGCACAGTGGGTACACACGGCGGATTGAAATTGCAACTCGCCATCCCTGGGGGTTGCGATCTGTGAAACTGTCGCCACTTTCGCGGCCTGCTGGGGGGCCCAGCACAGTGGGTACCCACGGCGGATTGAAACTGCACCTCGCCATCCCTGGGGGGCTGCGATCTGTGAAACTGTCGCCACTTTCGAGGCCTGCTGGGGGGCCCAGCACAGTGGGTCCACGGCGGATTCAAATTAGACCTCGCCATCCCTGGGGGGCTGCGATCTGTGAAACTGTCGCCACTTTCGAGGCCTGCTGGGGGGCCCAGCACAGTACGCCACGGCGGATTCAAATTAGACCTCGCCATCCCTGGGGGGCTGCGATCTGTGAAACTGTCGCCACTTTCGAGGCCTGCTGGGGGGCCCAGCACAGTGGGTACCCACGGCGGACTCAAATGGGACCTCGCCATCCCTGGGGGGCTGCGATCTGTGAAACTGTCGCCACTTTCGAGGCCTGCTGGGGGGCCCAGCACAGTGGGTACCCACCGCAGATTCAAATGGGACCTCGCCATCCCTGGGGGGCTGCGATCTGTGAAACTGTCGCCACTTTCGAGGCCTGCTGGGGGGCCCAGCACAGTGGGTACACACGCGGACTCAAATTAGACCTCGCCATCCCTGGGGGGCTGCGATCTGTGAAACTGTCGCCACTTTCGAGGCCTGCTGGGGGGCCCAGCACAGTGGGTACCCACTGCAGATTCAAATTAGACCTCGCCATCCCTGGGGGGCTGCGATCTGTGAAACTGTCGCCACTTTCGAGGCCTGCTGGGGGGCCCAGCACAGTGGGTGCCCACCGCAGATTCAAATTAGACCTCGCCATCCCTGGGGGGCTGCGATCTGTGAAACTGTCGCCACTTTCGAGGCCTGCTGGGGGGCCCAGCACAGTGGGTACCCACCGCAGATTCAAATTAGACCTCGCCATCCCTGGGGGGCTGCGATCTGTGAAACTGTCGCCACTTTCGAGGCCTGCTTGGGGGGCCCAGCACAGTGGGTACCCACCGCAGATTCAAATTAGACCTCGCCATCCCTGGGGGGCTGCGATCTGTGAAACTGTCGCCACTTTCGAGGCCTGCTGGGGGGCCCAGCACAGTGGGTACCCACCGCAGATTCAAATTAGACCTCGCCATCCCTGGGGGGCTGCGATCTGTGAAACTGTCGCCACTTTCGAGGCGTACCCACACGCAGATTCAAACTAAACCTCGCCATCCCTGGGGGGCTGCGATCTGTGAAGCGGTCGTCACTTTCGAGGCCTGCTGGGGGGCCCAGCACAGTGACGCCACACGCAGATTCAAATGTGACCTCGCCATCCCTGGGGGGCTGCGATCTGTGAAACGGTTGCCACTTTCGAGGCCTCCTTGCGGGGCCCAGCACAGAGACGCCTCCCAAGTAGCTTACACATCAAGTTGATTGTCCATACAAGTTTCGGCCAACTCCTCGTTTCCATTGATACAAATGGGTTGGGTACGTCACAGGGTAATTGTTTGGGGTGCTCGGTTAGGCTCAGAGCTCAGGGGGGGTACACCGTCACAGTCGCCCATGCATCGCCGATAGGGGGCCCGATAGAGTCCCCCCCTCCCAGTTTCGGGCGGGTTCGCTATCGGGTGCCAATCGGCGACACATCGCCGATTTCACGCCCGATGTTTTCCTCTCTGAGCTGGCCCCCCCCTGACGTTGCATCTCGCCCCTCTGCCCTCTGCCCAGACGCAGATGTAAGGAGAGCCCTTTCCTGCGCCACGGCTCATCCTGAGCCCATACTTTTTTCTGTTCTGTGGACCTCCTCAATGGTCTTGCCAGCTCGTTGCTCTTGGTTGCGGGGTGCTGCGGGTTGCACAGGCCCCCTCTCCAAGAGCTGCGCTGCTCAGTCAGGCGCCCGCCCTCCAAGAGGCCCTCACTCGAAGGCCAAGGGCGCGGCCAATCGTCTCTCCAGACTCCTTGGTCGGCCAAGGGATGGTCGAGCACCAGGCTTCGGCTGCCAGCGGCAGGGCAGTTCTGCGACGCGCCGCCGCCGCGCAGCGACAACAGGCTGTCCGAGCCACGGGCCGCGCTCGCGGCGGCGCCCGGGCACCCGGGGGCGGCCACGTGGGGGGTGAGGACTCGTTCAATAGTGCTGGATCCCATGGCCCCCCCTCCTTCTCCCAACGCGCCCCCCGCCCCCCCCCTGTTGTCCGCGCACATGCCTCGGGCCATGAACCTCGACCTACACCTCCCGCGCCTGCCGCGCGGCAGGTGCGGAAGTTGCAGGTCGAGAGGGAGCCTCGGGCCTCGACAATGAGCTGCGAGCCCCCCTTTCAGGTGCGGGTAACACCACGCCGACGTGTCGTCAGCTCGCGTCCCACTTTTGATCACGTCATTGAGGCCACCAGATCCAACGTAGCGAAAAAAGTGCAGCATCGTAACATATCACGCCTTGAGCCCTAGACCCTAGACCCCATATGCGCCATTTTTCGAGCCGGATCGATCTATAGAAGGGTCCCAGGGCCCGAGAAAGGCCCGGCTCGAAAGGATTGAGACGCCAGGATCTCAGGGCACTCCCCGAGTCGTTGCCACCAACTGCGGACGCCCCCGGGCGCGTGCGGGCAGGGCCAGCCCTGCCGCGCCGGCGGACACAGCCCGCGCAGCTCGTGCCGCGCTGGGCGTGGTAATTGGGTGGCCGTCTCGCCTCGGCGGCGAGCCCCGGGGGGGGGAAGTGAGCGTGAAGCAGTGGCGGCCCAGAGAGGATCGCGTCGTGACAGAAGTCAGGACGGCTGGCCTTCGGCCGTTTTCGGCCTCGGGGGGCCCTCGCCGGGCCTCGGGGCCGTCAAACAACGATTCAGGACGAAGACCGGTCCCGGGGATTCGGTCGGGACTTCCAGGGGCCCCATATTGAAAAAATCAGGACGTCGCATGTTTGGGAAAGTGTCCTGGCTAGCCCATAGTCTAGACATCCCAGATGGGGTCCGAGTAGATGGGGTTGGAGGATCGCGCCGCATCGCCGATGCATCGGCGATGCGGCTCGATGCGGAGCTTGATTTTTTTTTCGCGGTCGCCGCCGACAGCGCCGACGTCGCAAGAGCATCGCCGATGCATCGGCGATTCATCGCCGATGCGGCGCGATCCTCCTACTCCGACCCCATCTAGAAGGCCACTAGAGAATCAAGCAGTGGCGAAGCGTCCTGGCTCGCCTACAGGCCCAACACAGACTTTTCTAAGAACCGGTTGTGGTCTGCACGAAATGTTCTCAGAACATTTCTGGCTGAGACTGTCCTGTTTTCATCACATCGGGTTTGTGGCAATTTGTGTCTTATATTTCTGATATCAGAGCATTCTTGGTAGGAGCCTAGAGGAATGCCAGGACGGCCGGTCCCTGCTCAAGAGAAGGAGTGGGCCTCCTCAGAAGGCTCGGAAGTCCCCGGCCTTCTCAGAAGTTGTCTGAGTCTTCCGCGAAGGCACCGAAAGTGTCTCTCTGAAGGCGCGAGGGCTTCTGAGAAGTCCCGCAGCCTTCTGAGAAGGCCTTCTCCTTATCATTTCTCCCCTCGCTCGCCGCCGATCTCCCCCTCGGGCGAGGCGGACCCGGCAGCGCAGCGGTCGTTCCGCTCGCAGGGCGGCGGCATCGGCTGGAGGGCGGGGAGAGGAGGGGTCAGTCGGGCGGGGCTAGGACGATGCGCCACAAAAATATAGGCACAGGCGCCCTCCAACGGATCGTTCCTGGGCCTCAGGGGAGGGTGGCGGTGTGAAAGTCACCACTGAGAGCCAGCGACTCAATACACCGCCGCCCTCCCTGAAGGTACATGCAAAGTTCCTCGGAGGGGTTCTGCGTATATTTTCGAGCGTAGATGAGGATCAGTCCGTCCCAGACTGCTCTGGAGCGATCTCAGAGCGTTCTGGAACGCTCTGGCGGCGCCCGAGGCATTCTCCAGAGCCGCCGACTCTCAGAGATTCTCGATCCATCATCACCTGATCTTATCCTCGTTCTGGCTTCGTCTTAGTCAGCGGAGGAACAGGCGGAACAGGTACCGATACCGCTAATTACCCCTCTCTCGTTTTCATCATTCGGGGCCTCCTGGGAGGCCATCGTCGCCACGGATGGATTCGCCTCGAGATCTTGGTCAGAACGCACCCCAGGAGAGGTCCGGGGAGTAGCGGTATCGGTGCTTTTTGGTCCCCACAAGGGGAATGAGGGGCCCGAGGAGGGAGTACCGTCGAACAGTTGATGAGCAGACCAGGCGGCGTCAAGGCTGCGTGGCAGCAGGGGCAGGTGGAGGGGGTGGGAGGCAGGCTTGAGGAGGATGCAGGGCGAGGTGGTGGACGAGTAGGCAGGGGAGGGGCACGAGGCCAGGTCCGAGGGAGGGGGAAGAAGAGGAGCAGGAGGACAAACCTTCTCCTGCCAATCTCCTCTTGTCCTTTGCCGTCTTCTCCCTTGTCACCCATCTGGCGGCCGTGGTCCCTGGCGTTCGTGCAGCAGTTCGTCGCATCAGGTGGTAAGACTTCGAGGGGACCCGCTCTTGGCCACGCTCCAGGAGGAGCAGGAGGAGCATGACAGCTGTCCCGCCACTCCTCTGTGTATTCCCCTGTGCCCCCCCCACGGTTCGTTAACCTACTCTTTCCGCCGCCTCCAACAGTCTTCCGCCCCATGCTCGCAGCGCCGCTTTGTATAATCACACCACATATGAGTGCCACTCCCCTCCCTCGCCTGACGCTGTGCTGTGCGGGGGCGCCCCCTTGCCGCAAGCTTTGGTGCGTGGGCGTGCTTTTCGCGCACGCGCAGGATTTCCCCCACCTTTTTGTTTGCTCCATGCGTTTTACCATCGGACCCTTCTCGGTCCTTCAAAGTTGGTGTGCCCGCTGAAGTGTTCGGCCACACTCTTAATTGGGCTGACCCTCCCGTCCAACAGATTGGCAGTTCCTGCATAGCGTTGGTCGTCGTTGAATCCGTCATCCTGCGGTTATTACTCGTGCGTGTTGTCGTCCTCCTGCTTTCTCCAGCTCGTGATCACTTTTCGTCATCCTCGTTTTGCTTGGCCCTTCGTCGGCGTTCGTCGCCCATGTGTTCCGCAGGGGGGTATCATTTGCAAGTCAGGCGCGCTTGCAAGTTTCATTTGCCGTGATCAAATATGCGCTGTCTGGGTTCCGTTGCCAACAGGACTCTGCGCGAAATGGTTGTTGCAATATGGCATGGTTGCCAGTGGTGTTGTATCTGGCGATCTGGCATCACGTAATCTGCAATGCCGTGGCATGGTTGGGACGATTGTCCAACGTTTTTACGCAATGCCGTAGGTGGTGAGGCATCCATTGGTGCGCACTGGTGTACAATGTCATTCAGTGGCTTGTCGTAATGAACGGCTACATGCTACCAGGGTGTGCCACGCTACGCTGCTCGACAATGTCACGCAGCCCTGCTGTGCCCTGGCATGAGCATGCACTCTGTTGCCCGTTTGTGTGACACTGTATGGCGTTGCGCCTCCTGTGCTCACGGAGCGCGTTCCACAACTCACAAAGTGCCTACTCGCAAACGTCAGAAAAAAACGCATGTCTGCTTCGATGTAATTTATCGTAGATCCCCCGCGGCGGATCCATGCCATTTGCGAGTAGTTTCTTTGCGAGTAGTGGAACGCGCTCGTCTATGTGCGCCCCCATCGTAAATCGTACCCCTGCCTGGTGCCGCCCGAGTTCCTCACGAATGGCGCGGGAATGTGCTGACCTCTCTGCGTTGCGCCCACAGCGGGCCTGTCATCGCTCCTCCCCTTCTGTCCTCGCTCGTCGCGTTCGTCCTCCCATGCACCCATTTCCCGTCCCAGACGTCAGACTCGGCCCCGCGGTCATTTCTTCCTCGATGATCCCTCTCACGTGCTCAATAAGTTGCCGCTGGATTAACCGTCGTAGCTTCTCTCGTCGTCGTCGCCGTTAGTCCGACCGCCTCCCCGTTCCGTGTTCGCTCATTTTCTTTCCCTCCTCCTCCTCCCCCATTTTGCCCTTTCGAGTTCCCGTCTGTCTCCTTCATGCCTTGTCCAAGCTAATGGTTTCCGAATTGTGATTCGTCAACATTGCGCTTTCGGGATTCCACGCTTTCTTCGACACCCGACTGTGACTAGAGGGAAACCCGACGCGGGGATCACTGATGGGATGGGGTAGGACGTCTGATGCGACTCGGGCGGGCCGTTTTTTGTGTTCCATGTCCTTCCCTCTTTTCCCCTCCCCTCCCCCTCATCCTCCTGCTCTTCATTGTCCTCCTCCCCCTCCCCCCCATTCCCCCCCCCCCCTTCTCGTTCCTCCTCCTTCTCTTCCTCCTCCTCCTGCTCCTGCTCCCCCTCTTCCTCTTCCGCCTCCTCCTCCTCCTGTTCCTCCTCCTCCTCCTCCTTCTCTTTCTCCTCCTCCTCCTGGTAATCTTTCGCCTCATCCTCCTCCTCCTCATCATCCATCTCCTCCCCGCCCACATCTCTCCTCCTCCTCCTCCTCCTCCTCCTCCTCCTCCTCCTCCTCCTCCTCCTCCCGTAGCCATGTTGGCTCAAGGTTATGTTTTGGCGGGCGGAGCCCGCATTGGCAAAACTGGATACCGCTAGTCCGCGGCAGCTTTCATCTTTCACGGAGGTCCCTCGTTCCCCAGTGCGCGACCAGCGGCTCCCAGCGGAGTGCGTATCTGGGGCGAGGGGTTCGCTAGCCTGCACACCGTCGAGCCCATGGTCCAGGCAGATAGGTTCGTCAAGTGCGTGTCTTGCGAGTACAAGTGGACGTGGAAAGGTCGCAATACGTGCTTCAACTGTGGCAAGCAGATGGAGCTCGGAGTGCAGCCACCGTGGCGTACGGGATCACCAGCATCGAAGCCATCACGGGGTGTCTGGGACAACCGTATCCAGACAGCACTGCGCAGTGAGCAGCGTGATGGTTGGAAGGAGTGGAGCGACTGGCCCAAGTCGCGCCGTCATCGCAAAAAGGGCGGCGCACAGGTCGACGAGCACAAGCAAAAGGTCCAGACTCCTGAGCAGATGCCCAAGGCGCTGCAGGTGGCGGCTCCGCATCTCGACCTGGCGGCGATCGAGGGGCTCAAGCAGCAGTTGCCACCGCCTGTGGCGCAGAGGGACCCCAACCAGGAGTGCCAGCACCAGTGTGCGCAGGAGCGCAAGGCCAAGCTGGCCCTGGACAAGGCGGTGGAGTCCGAGGCCAAGGCGCACGACTGGTACATGGAGCGTAAGGAGGCGGCCTTGCACGCGGCTCAGGAGGCTGTCCGTGCGCAGGAGCGGGCTGAGGAGGCTCTTCGGGCCTTGCAGCGCGCGCGAGGGCAGGAGCGCACAGCTGAGGCTCCCAGTGGAGCGTCCAAGCCAGCGGCCACGCTCAACCTCACTGCCCTCCTCGAGAGTGATGAGGTCCACTTCGAGGCGGGGCCCGCTTTCTCCTTGGAGGGGCTCGAGGTCGACGAGGGCGACAAAGAGGCCGTTCTGGCGTTGCAGGCGCGCTTCGCGGCGGAGCCCAAGCAAAATATCGGCGAGATCTTCGGAGAGGCGGCCAGCAATCTTGGCCAGCGCAGGAAGGAGGCCGACGAGATGCGGCAGCGTCTCAAGGCCAAACGGCAGCGGCGAGAGGAGGCGCCCCCTGTAGAGCAGCCTGGAGAGCCCCCAGCGGAGGCTCAGGCGCCAGCCGCGGCGGCCACGGCAGAGGTCGCCAGTGCCGTTCCTTCAGCGGGCAGTGCAGCTGCGCGTACCGCTGAGTTCATTCCTGTGCCTGGCGATCACGCTGCTGGCGCCGCTGGCGAAGAACCGAAGTTCGAGGACAAGGTCCAGCGGCTGCTGGCAGCAGCCAAGGGCGACAAGCAGGGGCTTTGACGTGCTGGAGGTGACAGGCTCACGAGCATCGATGCCCAGGTCAACGGGCTCAGCACTCACCGCGTGGGCAGAGCGAGCGGCTACGGGCCCCGCACTCACCCTTGCGGCAGAGCTAGCCGCATCGTCGGGCTTCGCACTCACCCTCGAGGCAGAGCGAGCGGCTTCGGGCCCCGCACCCACCTCAAGGGCAGGGCAAGCCGCAAGTACTTACAGTTCGGCGTCGACTAGCAGCGGGGCCCACCATCGGAAGCAGGAGGCCGCGGACGCGCGGGTGGCCGAGACCCTCCTCCCCGATGAGCGCGCCCCCCAGGCCGCCGACGGGTGGGGCCTGCAGGGAGACAGCGAAGGCCCCGCTGCACATGACGGTCGAGTACGAGGGCGCAGCTCGCCCAGGGGATGGGGCCGACCCGCGGCGCTTCAGAGAGCAGCCGACCAGCTCAAGCAGCGCGCTGGCCAGTAGATCTCACGCCCGGACGCCAGCGAGCACGGCGAGCACAAGTGGATGCGATGGTGCGTGCCCTACGTCATGGAGACCACGCGCTGAAGCCTTCAGCAGGCGGAGGAGCTTTGCACGGAGGCTTGGCGAAGTGGGAGCCCGACGAGACGTGCGACCCTGATGCACCTGGCATCGCTTGCTGCACAGCCTGAGCATGCGACCTGGCGGAAGGCAGTCCCGGAGATATGGGATGCAGCGCGTCGGGTCGTCGAGGCTTTCCGCGCCGCGCTCCAGGACCGAGCACCTGCAGACGAGCCTATCGAGTACTACTACGACGACGTTGACGAGAAGGGGGGCGCTGGCACCCCTTCGACGGCTCTACCTACATCGACGTGGGCGGGATCG